ACTAAAAATCATGGGCTTGGGCTGTAACAACTGCAATGTCGTGGCCATCCACTTGCCATGTCGTGGCAACCATGCGAGACGCGATCTCCAGTAAACTGTCACGCCATATCATGGCCATCCATGAACTACATGGTGGCATAAGGTTTTTCCTCAAAAAACCCATCTTTGATCCCATTAAGTCTTCAACTGATCCATTATGGAATACGAGTGTTACATATACGGTTTAGTAAATCCCATAACCGAAATGGATGAGACTGATACTATGTCAAGATGAGCATGCTCCTGGTGCTATCCCTCATATCCACTATCCTCTTCTTCGACCAACAACACTTGTAATGTTTTTCCCAAGTATTTGTGTCATGGTCCGAACTTGTCATCACAACGGAAACACAAACCTTTGGCCCTTTTTGTGGCTATTTCTACTTCTATTAATTGTTTAAACGATGCTTTAATGACCAGGGTTACCTTCTGCCCAGGCCCTTCGATCTGAGCAGGAGGCTTGATGAAACTAGCATGAGGTCGAGTGGTGGATATCTTGGCTATCCCCTTCTCGATTATAAAAACCATACTTGAATGACTCTCATCAATCAACAATGCATTTTTTATTGTTTGACCAAGACCTACTTCTTGCAACATACATATTGATTTTCTTAACTCGTGTTTTAGACCTTTAATGAAATTCCCCTATAGAGTTTTCTTGGGTAAACCAAGTCGTTGGGATGCCAACGCTTTGAACATGCTGACACACACTTGTATAGTACCTTCTTGAGTAAGGGTTAGTAATTGTTCATGTAAACTCTCATCTTGTGAAGGATGGAACTGGTCAAGTAGTCTAATTTTGAGTTTGTCCCAACTACGACATGGTGAACACTACTCATTCCAACGATACCAAGCCAACATTGGTCCCTCCAAAAACAATATTGCGGCCTCGAGTTTTTTTGTGGACGAAACCAAACCATGGATCTAAAAATAGTTCAACCTTGTAGATCCATCCAAATGCATCTTCACCCTAAAATAATGACATCTTCGACTTTCGTAGGCACTAATATATTCCTGGTAGCCCCCCCCTCAAATTGTTGTGGCCACACGTAGGACCATGGTTGAATACATGACCCCCGTTATATCCCTTGGGTTCATCTTGGTCTCCCCCACCCCGTGTCCAAGTAGGTAACCTCGACCATTACTTAAAAACCCAAGACGTCCCCATATGTGAATGGTGCGGGTTGGACCCTTTGACCATCCCTTCCAAACTCAGCAACGTGAGGATGGTGTTGGAACCACCCGTTCATCAGGATGGTGTGTGCTCTAAGTCGGTCTGGTATGCATGAGGATGGATATTAGTGTCACCATAGGAGTTAATGACTGCATTATGGGTTGAGAAGAATATGCTGAGAAAGGTTATATGGTTCTCACCGATTGGAACAACGTTGGTGGTGGTATGGGAGGTGGTGGGGGTAGGCTTGACGATGGCAGCGGTGGGTTAACTTGTTGATGAAGAAATCGGTGGTGGTAGGCTAGAGGGTTGTAAAACCTTCTAGAGAAATTCCATCAGTTTCATATGCCTTTGATTGGCAATCGCTTGTCTATTTTCTGCATCTGCCTTGATCGAATTAATCTAATGCTTCATCTCTTCCAATCGGTCAAGATCACCATCGGAGGTTGAATCTTTGGTGTTGTCGGAACGATTGAATGGTTTTGTCATCATGAACAATGCTCAATGAATAGTAACAACGTGGACAGTAAGAACGTGAATATCACTTAATGAACAATAAAACGTAAACAATAATTTTGATGAACAACAGCGTGAACAGTCATCCGATGAATAATGTGCCTACCATAATCATTGCTCTGATACCAATTTGATACATACTAAATAAAAACTGAAACTGCTATTAGCTTAACGCTTAAAAGAAATTAATAGTGGGGTTCTAATAGTTCGAGATTCAGAGGGATCTCTACAAAGAAAGACTAATGAACTTAATTCATGCCTACCCTCTAAAGCCGACCCTAACCCTTATTTAAATATAAACGAAAATCAAAATACTAGGGAACTTAATCACGAAGATAAAGTCTATAATCAACTTTAATTAAATTGCTAATTACCCCCTTGCGTTATGTCTCTGATAAACTTAGCCCTATCTGTCTTGATTCGTATCAGAATATTATACAGAATAGCAACATACTTTACCCTATCTACTAATATGTTGAATTTACTTCATCCTTTAGACGTAATAAGTAATAACAACATACTTGCATTTTTTTATTGATAATAGCAATGTACTTTCTCTTACATTAATATCAACGTACTTATATGCTGCTACCAATATTAGGCATTTCATTTTACTTGTTACATAGTACTAAATGGAAATATGTAGTTATGATGAGTAAAGATTTGTAAGCACATTCTTTGTAAGCACATTCCTATTATCTGTAAATAAAATGCAAGTATGTTGCAATCATAAGTTACATATGACTGTGATCAATAAAAAATGTAAGTACTTGGTTATTATAGGTAAATAAATGTAAGTATATTGCTATTATGGATAAAAAATAAAGTACATTGATAAACTATAATTTGTTAGATTTGTCCATAGTAAAATACTATAATAGTAACAAATGAAAGCAGGATGCTATAAAAGAAAGTATTATCCATCGATTGTTTTTACGTCGGTCAATAAGTCCATCGGGTATAACACTAGGTTATTTTAGTTGGAAAACAATAAATTCATCTCCTATAAATATATTATATATTTCATATCTTTTTAATGCTCTTTGTGTGGCCCCATATTACATATAACTGACAATATTGTGAATATCTTCTTTCATACACACGATTACCATTGATGAACATCACATTAACCTGATAAGCTAAATATATTTGTAAAAATTAGTAATCTATTTTTACTTTAATACGAATTACATTAATTATATATTTTTTTGAAGAAGTTGGGGTGTGAGCCTAAATGGGTTAAAACTTTATAAGGAAGCGCACATCATATAGTTCAAAGGTGGCATTGGAGTCTGGAGAGATGGATGGGAGCAAGTCTGTTGACTGGATTGCAAATAGGTCTTTGGAGATATATGTAACTTTATCCTTTTTAGATATTTTGTGTGATGTATTTGTTTATTTTTTCAAATTTGGTTATAATAACAACCTTTTTTTCGAACATTGTAGGAGTTATATGAGAAGGCCATGAATGAAAAGCATGGCGATGGCACCACTCAACATCCGAGGGGTGATAGTTTGTGGGAGCAGTGTTAGGGTGAGAGAAAGAAGGGACGAATCCTCATATCTCCACTTGAAGGTGACGGGGACAACACCTTAAGAGTGTAGCTTGTCCTTTCATGAGTACTCCCACTATCAGCAGCATGTATACTTGTTTATTAAATGCATTTTTTATTTACATAAAGAAGAAATTATGGTGTTGTTTTGGATAAAAATGTAAATACGTTGCATATTTGACACTTGTACACGGTATCCTTGTTTCCTAGTTTTACACAGGGGCGAGATAAGAAAGTAATTTGCCGTGTATATCCCCTGTAGGGCTATACATTATATATATAAACATGTTACACAGTAAGAGATAAATACAAGATCCTAATCAGATGGATCTGATAGTTACAACAATACATTTGAATAATCTTATCTCTTAACTTATCCGTTTACATTCCCCCTCAATCTTAAACGTGACAAGGTTTGGATTGTGTCTTAAATTGTGCAACATGTGCTTGGTCATCGACTTCGTGAATCCATCTGCTAGTTGATCTCCAGAAGATATGAATCAAACATCAAGAGCACCCATTGCAACTTTCTCTCTAACAAAATGAAAATCCACTTCTATCTGCTTAGTTCGAGCATGAAAAATAGGATTGGCTGTCAGATAAGTTGCTCCCAAATTATCACACCACAACACAGGTGGTCTTGGCTGATGAACACCTAGTTCCTTTGAGCAGTGATTGTATCCATGTTGCTTCTGCTGTCCCGTTAGCAAGAGCCTTATACTCGTCTTCTGTACTTGAGCGAGCCACAGTGGGTTGCTTGTGAGAGCTCCATGATATTAAGTTTGGACCAAGAAATATTGCAAACCCTCTTGTAGATCTTCGATAGTACACACATCCTGCCCAATCAACATCAGTAAAAACACTTAGAAGTGTTGATTTGGAGGGTCTAAAACGAAGTCTTGTATTCACCGTTCCCTTCACATATCTTAAGATTCTTTTGACAGCCTCCCAATGAATATCCGTAGGTTTAGATAAAAATCAACACACTTTATACACAGCGAATGAAATGTCAGGTCTTGTTAGTGTGAGATACTGCAATCCTCCAACCATGCTACGATACTTAAATGCATCTTCACCATTAAGAGGCTTCCCATGATCACGAGACAATTTATCCGTTACCGACATTGGGGTTGAATCACTTTTGCAATTCTCCATGTTAACATGATGTAATAGATCTATGGCATACTTTTGTTGCATAAGAGTGATTCCCCCTGAATTGTGAAGTACTTCAAGCCCAAGGAAATAATTTAGTTTGCCAAGATCTTTAATAGGGAACGAACCAGAGAGAGCACGTACTAGTTTATCAATGAGTTGTTGAGAAGACCTAGTAATAACAATATCATCAACGTAGATTAACATGTAAAGAATGGTGTTACCATGATGAAAAATGAACAAGGATGTGTCAGCTTTAGATGAACGAAAACCCAATTGATGAAGCTTATCACTCAAACGAGAAAACCAAGCTCTAGAAGATTGCTTGATCCCATATATCGCTTTATGTAACTTGCAAACATAATGAGGATGAGTAGAATCCTCAAACCCCGGTAGTTGTTGCATATAGACCTCTTTATTGAGAAAACCATGAAGAAAGGCGTTATTAACATCAATCTGTTGTATGGGCAATTTACGAGAGACCGCCAAGGAGAGAATTAATCAAACCATGGCTGGTTTAACAACATGACTAAAAGTGTCGTGATAGTCCACTCCATGTTGTTGAGTCAAACCACGTGCCACAAGACGGCCTTATGCTTATCAAGAGAACCATCAGCATGTTGCTTGAGCTTGAAAATCCATTTGCATCCCACTATATTGACACCTGGTGGACGAGGCACAAATGACCATGTGTTAATGTGTTGAAGTGCCAAGAATTCCGCTTCCATGGCTTTGCGCCATGCCGGGTGAGCAGAAGCGATGTGATGTGTGGAGGGAACAACCATGAAGGCACGCTTAGTAGCATCATAAAGAACAGTCCCATCAATAATTTTTCGAGACCGAGTGATTCCAGCACGTCCTCTAGTAACAACCCCTTGAGGAGGGGGTGAGGAGCTGGGTTGATCACTCAAGGCAGGAGATGAGGCTGTTGGTGACGTCGGGATGGAGGAAACCGGAGTCTCGGTGGTGGTTGTTGATGGAGACATGGTCGAGAGAGTTGGTGATGACGGAATGGGCGATGACAGATGCTGTGGAGAATCACCAAGATTTGGTAGCCCCTGACCTGGAGGTGAAGCTGCAGTTGCATTAGAATTATTCGATAGCAAATATATGTCATAACTCTTCATATGATCATTAGTAATTTCTGGTTCAACTTGAGGAAAAGACACGACTTCAGATGAAGAAGGTGGTGTGTGACTGTTTGTGGAAGCGGCGAATGGAAATCTAGATTCATCAAAAATAACATCACGTGATATATAAACTCGACCGGTACTCTTGTCAAGACATTTATACCCTTTATGCATGGAACTGTATCCAATGAAAACAGATAATTTGGATCGAAAATCAAGCTTATGTGAGTTGTATTTACGCAGGCTTGGCCAACATGCACACCCAAAATTGCGGAGAAAAGAGTAATCAGGTGTTATATTAAGCAATTTTGTAATGGGGGTTGAATTATGTATAGTGGGACTAGGCATGCGATTTACAAGGTAACAAGCAGTAAGGAATGCTTCATCCCAGAAACGAAGTGGGAGTGAAGAATGAGCTAATAAGGCCAAACTTGTTTCGACTATATGTCGATGTTTACGTTCCGCAATACCATTTTGTTGAGAGGTATGTGGACAAGAGACACGATGAGAAATTCCTGTTTGTTGAAAATATTTATGGAGCTTTTGGTACTCACCTCCCCAATCAGATTGGATGGTGCGAATTTTTGCATTCAAGAGGCGTTCAACATGATGTTGGAAGTTATAAAAAATTTGTTCAACATTAGACTTATGTTTAATAAGATAAATCCAAGTGTAGCGATTAAAATCATCAATAAAACTAACATAATATCTATAACCACCGCTAGACACTTGAGCCGGTCCCCAAACATCCGTGTGAACCAACTCAAGTGGAAAAGATGACACATGAACATAGTTTTTATAAGGTAACTGATGACTCTTAGACCTTTGACAGGCATCACACACCAAATGTTTATTATCTAAAGACACACCTAACTTATTTGACTTTAAAATGGAATTGACTACTGCTGAATTTGGATGACCCAATCGTTGATGCCATTGAGATTTAGATACTCGAGAACTTGTGAACGCCTGGTGAGAAGATCGAACATATGAGCGACTAATTGGCACCTGATAGAGACCACCCTTGCTTCTACCTATGAGTAGGATTTTCTTCGTGACCTTGTCCTTAACAAAGAAAACATCAGGGTGAATTTCAACAAACACATTATTATCAGATACAAGTTTATAAGCAAACAAGAGGTGTTTATTAATTTTAGGAACACGAAGAATGTTTGTGAAAGTGAGTGGTTTACCTGAACCAGAAATTTTAGAATGACCAATATGAGAGATTTGCAAACCTGCTCCATTTGCCACTTGGACTTGATCTTTTCCTTGATAACGTTCCTGCACCGTGAGGCGATCAGGATCATTTGTTAAATGATCTGTATCTCCAGTATCAAGATACCAGTGAGGATCATTGATGTAGGTTCCGGTGGTGGCACTATTTCCTCCACGGTATTCCTCAGCCTGATATACGTGATTGAATCTGTTCCTACAGTTTAGAGCGGTGTGACCTGGAATTCCACATACCTGACATCGAGGGCCATTATTTCCCCTGCCTCGTCCTCATCCATGCCCACGATTGCTTCCTCCTCGATAGTTCCCTCGTTTGTTATTGTAGGAGTTGTTGTTGGAGTTCCGGTGTGGGGTGCTTTGGTCTTGACGAGTCACATTGTTGGCAGAGGTCAAGAATTCTGTTGTATGATTCATGGTGCTAGGTTGTGCTTCATGAGCAATCAGATATGAATAAAAGTCAGGTAGGGTTACCGTATGTTGATTGCTTAGCACTGTGATTGCAGTGAAGAGGTCGCCATGACCTGGCCCTAGTCCGACAAGAATGTATCCAATGACCTCTTCATCAGTCATTGGGTGACCAATATTTGCCATAGTATCTGCAAGGCTGGTCATTTTGTGATAATATTCAGAGGCCGTCATATCTCCTTTCTTAGTTGTGGAGAGTTGGGCGCGTATTTGAATAGAGTTGCCACGATGTTGGGCTGAAAACATAGTGTGGAGGGACGTCCAGAGTTCGTAGGATGTATTTGAACATCTTGTGATTTGGGCAAGCACTTCTTCTGTCATGGAGGACAGAAGAGCACCGATAATCGCTTGGTCTTGAACAACCCATTCAGCACATTGGGGGTTGTCAATTTACTTGGCATTGCACCCGTTCCTGAGGCTATTTTGGCAGTGGGTTTTGGTGTGGTACCATCAAGGTACCCGAACAGTTGGACACCTCGCAATATAGGGACGACTTGGGCTTTCCACAGGAGGAAATTGGTTCGAGTAAGTTTGCATGAGATGGCAGTGGCAATCTTGGAGGAGTTTATTGAAGACATGGTGAAGGCGAATCTGATAGAGAGGATCAGAAATCCGGAAGGTGGAGAGAAAATTGACAAGCCCTAGGAATAGCTCTGATACCAAGTTAAGAAAGTAATTTTGCCGTGTAAATCCCCTGTAGGGCTATACATTATATATATAAACATGTTACACAGTAAGAGATAAATACTAGATCCTAATCAGATGGATCTGATAGTTACAACAATACATTTGAATAATCTTATCTCTTAACTTATCCGTTTACAGGGCGGCTCAACCAATTTAAGGGCTCTAAGAAAACAAAAAAATTTGTACACGATATCCTTGTCTCCTAGTTTTACTTTTACATACATGCAATGAATATGCTATACCTTGAGAAAAAAGTAAAATGTTGAGGTCTGATCTTCAGTTGTACAAAAATTTGAAGCCTGGATACTTGGCAAGCCCTATAGCAGGATTAACATTTGCAAAATCTTCTACTTGCAAGGAATCAGCGAGGTCATCAACAGAGAAATGTATGCTGCATTTTAAAAGAAAAATGTTAATTTGTTATGCATTGCATTCACCATGGATAAGAAGGATAATGTCAATGAAGGAAGTAATGGTTATTAACAATAGCATTGAAGCGAACTCCATTCAGCTAATTAAATTTCATGATACAGATTTCAGATGATGTAGTATTTTATTATTTAGAGATAAGTCACACATATCCTGAAAAGGAGAATTTATCAAGTTAAATAAGCACTCTACTCCCCATCTTCCAATAGCATTTAATTTGTTACAGAAATTTTTTTTTTTGTTTTTCACCTTTTCTATAAAATCCAGTTTTTAATGTTTCTGTCCCAAAGAAAGAGACTCATTATAAAATTAACGGATGTTTAAAAGATTTATCTTTAATATGTTCTCTTGTACGAGGAATTTAAAGAAGATTAATGTGATCATGAGTGACTCATTTTTAAATTCTGAATTTTGGTCGCATATAACATAACAGTCCTCAAAAAGAACACCAAGCATTATACCTGGAACTGTCTTTCAATAAAAGGGAATGACTTGAAGCATTATTACGATCTTCAGACTTTATGGCGAGGCTTGCAATAACCTGCAGGTTAAAGATAATATAATGAACAGGATAATTTATGGACCATATCACAAAAAAAAAAGTTTTAGTTCCATAAATATGAAATTTCATATATTTAACTTACTTCATCAAATCCACCACCTAAGTAATTCTTGTCTTGGAAACACGCAGTTGTACATATTTTATGCAACTGCGAGACACTTAGAATCTGGAATTAATAGAGAATCAGAGTGGGAGTTAAAAACCACATATGTACGTGCACCTCATCATATGTTTCATTTAAGTAAAATGACATGAATTATCCAACTCATATTTTTCCTTTTAAGATTTATACCTTGTTTTACAATGTGTCTGTTAGGTCCAAGCTGATCATTTAAATCGGTCCCACAAGTCTAATAATTCCTAAACAACACTTTATCCCTTCATGAATTGTTTTAATCAGAAGTCGAAAGTGGGTTGTTGATTTTAAGATCTGAATATTAGACGTAGGGTAATTCAAATATTATCCATCGTGATACTATCTTCTTTTTTCGGGTAGGAATAAGCATTTAAGTTCACAGGATTTTGATACTGGGTGCTGGGGTTTGCTTTTGATTATCTTCACCATGTTAGTCCTCAAAGCTCATTCATTGATAACAGATAACCTTCAACAGTATCATGTGTATGTTTTGTAATATTGCCTTGCATTAAAAATTAGGATTCATACATGCATGCATTCTCCTGATAAAACAGTAGCCTGCTCCTCAAAAATCAATTGCACTTGTGGAGTTGGTAGTTGAATCCCCAGATGACGTCGATTGCCAAGTGAGTTTTTTATAGCTTGTTTTTTAGCTGATTTTTGTAATCGGGATTGATTTCTGCTTGCATGTGATGCTGATTTTTATAATTGTACTTGATTATTGAAATTGTTGTTGATTTTTGCTACACTATAACACTATTTTGTTTCTGATATCTGTTATTCTTGTTTTAGATTCTTGTAATTGACTAATTGTTGCTGGTTTTTACATTGTTTCCGATTTTGTTACACTATAACACATTACCCTATATACTGTACTGTTTCTGCATTTTGTTAATTGTTATACAATATCGACTTGTTTATGATTTTTTTTTTATTTGTTGACGACTTGATTTCTTTCTGATTTTTGCTAACTGCTAATTACTATAACACTATACACTATTTCTGATTTTTGCCGTCACTTTTGGAACTACTTATTGGTTTGATAATCAAGATTCAACGGACTTGTTATGGTTTTAATGTTTGTTTTGGTACGACTTCTGGTGAGAAGTAAATGTTTTTTTTATTATTATTAAGTATTTAGAACTTAGAAGGTAAAATATGTTATGTGGAATTAAATTGCAAGTATTTTGAAAATAATGGACACCTCGGGTGTGTATCATGCATCACACATCACCCCTTGACTTTTGGCCTCTTAATGAGTGATTGAAGATTCCCTATGACTCTTCTCGCTGCCAAAGCATCTCAACCTTTGCGTCACGCCTCCAACACCTCTCCTAAGTTCTCCTCCTTTGGCTGCTCAAATCGTGACTCTAACTGTGGCCGTGGAGGCCGCCAACAACAGGGTTGTCGCAGTGGGCAGGGTGGTCATTCCAACAGGGGGGTCATTTCATGTTCTAGTATTTAAATTTTGTGTGTTTGTAAGTTTTGGAAACTTTATAACAAGACAAAATTATATTCTTCCTTTCCATGTCAATTTCTATCGTTGTTTGAAATAATTAATAGTGATGTTTGGACCTATGAAACACAAAATGATCATATTTATTATGTTTTGTTTATACAAGATTATACTAATTATGTTTTAACTATTCCCATGACAAATAAATCTCAAACTTTCTCATGTATTTTTTATTTTGAGAGTACATTAAAAAATCAATGTGATATGATATTAAGTCGTTCCAACGTGAAAGTGGAAAAGAATTTAACAATACATCATTTCATCAACATATTACAACCAAATTGGCGTCTAGTTATGTTTTTGTGTCCTTACACCTATTCACGAAGGCCTAGTTCCCAAGTTTGAGAAAAGAAAATAAAATAAGGAGAAGGAAAGTTAGAATGGAAAAAGAAGAGAAAGGTAAGGGAAATAAAAGTGTATTTTGTGTTTCCGAGATAAATGAAAGAAAAAATTAAACATTATGTTTTTGTGTCCTTACACCTATTCGCTATGTAATTTGTTGTTTGAAATTTCATACCCTCTTGGCAAAGAAATGTTTGTGTATTGTAACAACATGAGTGCTATTTATATGCCCAATAATTCGATCCAACACCAAAGTACTAAACAGGAGTTGGATACTTCTTTTGATCGTGAGAAGGTTGCATGCGGTCAATGTTGAGTTTTACATCTTGGTTTAGAGAATGAGGCTTGGGAGGTTACCCACACAACCAAACTAGTAGAACATTGCATGGTATCAACATTAATTCAATACTCTTCCCTTTATGCCATACCATCCCCGAGACAAAAGAACATCTTCTTATTCGTTGCTCCACGATTAAGGAACTTAGGTCGTTGCTCGGAAAATGGTGACATGCCTTTTTCTATTATTGTTGATTATTTTTAACAACTTGGTGATATTGGTGATGTTACGAGCATGCCTAACCAAGTAAAATTTTGTGCCCAGGTGATCAATTTTGCTTTTGTATGGACAATTTGGAAACAAAGAAATTATGTTTTGTTCAACAACAAAACCCGAAGTAGCATAGACCTGGCGAGTGATATCAAGATTTTGGTGTTTAACGGGATTAAATTATAACTAGGAGAGTTTTGTTTTAGACTGATAAATGGTGTACCAACTCGAAGTTTAAATGTTGTAACCTTGTATATTTTGTTGAAATGTAATCTAGAAAAGTTGAAGGTTAGTTTGATAATTATCAGTAATTAGTTATAGTTGGTAGTTAATTATTGGCTAGTTATAGTTAGTTATTAACGAAGTTAATTCTGAACAGAGATAGTTATTTCAACAGCCATAAAAGGGGGTGCAGTGGTTGGGGGTTAAGGGATGTGATGGTTGCCCTGTATATAGATGTGTGTATATGTGACTTTGTAATGTTGTCGATATTATGTTTAATAAAAATTCTGTTTTGACTGCACTCTCTTTCTCTCTTCATGTTTCAATGCCTTTCTCCAACATATTTTACTAGCTCCTCGTTAGCTTATTTAAAAAAAATTGATGTTAAAAAAGTCTGAGTTTTACGTGTTCCATTAAGGTACCAGTGTGCATATATTTTCCCCAAATGGATTTCAGTCTAAGATTGAGGAACCTACTCTAAGCTTACAGCTTTTGATATCATGTCATCATGTATGTGTGTGAGAGCGAGAGACTTACAGAGCATAGATTGTTGATCCTTTTATATGATATCTCCCATTTGCTACGTATAATCTGAGAATCATAAAACGTTTTAGTACGGTTGTTACATAGAACAATGAACCATTTGAAATAATTCATTACGGAGAAAAGCAAACAATACTAGAACCTCTAATATAGAACTTAGTTAGAAAAAATATACCAAGAATTGAGTAGCCTGTCTAACATGATTAAGTTCATCGAACAATGAGGCTCCATACTGTAATACAAAAAAAAAATCAGATCCTACAATAACCAAACAATGGTTGTAAGTGTTAAAGTTAAGCTCAAACTCATGTGTAGCATATAATGATAGCATATAACATATAGTAAGTACCGGTTTGAATCATTATATTTTGAACAATTGTATTGGTAGGAAATACAATGCTATTATTGTCATTAATATAGGCACACGATGAAATTTTGCAAGAACAGGCAAGAAGATGAAATAATGATGCAAAGTTTATGAATGAGAATGAGTCCAAGGAGGTTGAAACAATATTTGGTCATTTTTTAGAGTGATAAACTTGTGATGGATGATGTGTGGAACAATTTGACAGAAAATAAGGATATGTTTATTGGTATGGACGATGCTTTCTGTAGCAAGTTTGGAATGTGTGATGAAATTGAAGAAAGGAGATTTCAAGAACTTGAAGTCTAAACCCCTACAAGTTGGTGTCATCAATCGGTTAAAAGAAAAGATTGGAATGGATTGAGTTTAGCTTAAAGGAAATTGCTAAAGTTAAGTTAAACCTCCTCTGTAGCATATTGTAAGTATCATATAGTAAGTACACGGGGCATTGGGGGTATTACATCATCCCCAAAAAAATGTTTTATATACATAAAAAAATTATTTGTAAACATGCTCTATGTTATTATACCTCAAGCTAAAGGGATTGTACCATGTTTTAATGCCTAGGATAGGAAAACTACGTAAAATAGATATTTTCCGGTTGCTACAACAAGTGTAGAGAGAATAAGTTGCGGAATTACATGGATGCTCAAGTTTTAAATGATTGTTTAGTCACTTTTTATTGAAAAGAATTTGTTTCTGCAAGTTCTTGATGACGATATCATTGATCGATTTCAAGACAAGATGACTAGGAGAATTTTAATTGTAACTTTTCCTTAAATTATATTTTTTCGATTTATGACTTTAAATATTAAGAAACTCTTTGTATTTACTATTTGGAATCTTGACAATGTTTGTATCCCCGTATCAAAATCCCTGGCTCCGCCAATGTATATATGTCTATGTACACATGCAACCGATGGGTGTATAATTGTGAATAATCAAGTTTGTAATTACTGCAAAAAACATCATTCTTTGTTGTTCAAATGTTCCTATAAACTCCTCTATTCTTTGTTTGATCCAACGATAAGATGCTTTCATAAAAGTTGTGACACGTGAGCACCGTTGCAAACTTGATACACATTTATGTATACCGTCTCATTTTCCTTAGTTTGGTAAAAAAAATGCAGTTGAGAATGCTTGATAGTATTTCACTCTTTATTATGTTCCATAGTTTTTCGAACCAGAAGAAACTACCTCCCTTTCCATGAAATATGATGTTGCACGAAGCATAAATATACTAAACATGAGAAATGTCAAAAAAAAATATAGAATTACCTTTTCCGTTGCCTCACGACACCACAGCCTCAACTCTGCTAAACCTTCATTCACATAGCGCCCATTGGCAATGGAACAACACTCTGGGTATAGAAGAAAACTGCAGAGTGAAGATAAAAAAAAAATATATATATATTTATAATACGAAACCAAGAAAATGACTGGAGCAATAAGCAAAAGTTGAGTAAGCAAACACCTATTAAAGAGTTGCACGTTGATATATGAGAAAATTTTAGTGAGTATCTTCTTAACAATTGTGGTAGGCACCTGAAAGGAAACTATATGAGAGAGTTTTGCAAAATAATATCTTTTGAACAATTGCAAGCCAATAAAATATTAAAAATTTAAGCCAATGTTCTTATTCCAGTGGGGATTGGAAATGGAACTTCAACTGTTGTAAGTATCCTAACATTTATCTAATGAACATGAGGCCATGGAAAATGCACATACAAAATTTTCTTTGAATGTTTTGAGAAGAGTGTTGAGATAGTCAACAATGCCATGCCAGTGATTTTTAGAACTATGATGTCCTAGCATTCCCGATTTTGAAGCCTGAAATTTCACAATTATAATACAGATAAGGTCATCATAGGTAATTTGGGAAGTCAATGACAGATAGGAATGTAAATGTATGGTTATGTTAAATTGTTAATACAACGATATTATAGTTGTGGCTGAATAAAATCAAAGTTCATCTACCTGAATACTTGATGAAAGGAATGATCCCACCTCCTTCTTTGAGTTGTCACTAATGATGCCACACATTTTCTCTACGTATTCTGTTAGTTGGAGCTCGAAAAGCAAAGCTGGGTATTTGGCCTCAACATGTTGTACTTCTATAGCTAGTGCAGACTCAGCTAGCTCGGCCTCAGTTTCAGCCTTAGAGGACGTGGATGAACAAAACTGATAAACATAAGTTGAAAAAAAAACATTATTTATTGAAAAGATTAAAAAACAGATGATAAGAGTAAAAATCAATCCCATTATCATACAGTTACCAAAGTTGGTGACAGTGGTTTCTGAATTGAAGGTGCACCATCAAGTTTTAGACTTTTCCGGATTAAAAATAAGAAAGTAGATGCACATGATAACCAACATGCCATCTGATTATCAATTTGATCCTGAAATAAGGTTAAATGTCATGACGATTGAAATAACGTGATGAACTTCATTTTTAATTTATGTTGCAAAACCCAGGAAAATAATACTAAGAAGATATAAAATAAGGTTTAAGTCAATTGAAGAAATATCAATTTAGTGGTCATTATGCTCCTTTATCACGGAGAAAAAATCCACCAAATCACCCAGAAACACAAGCACAACAAGATGGCATACTGAAAATATGTTGCAGATATGCTCTCACGTCCTTCATTTTTTTAGTGTGATAACAATTCCCCCATGTTTTTTTATCCCAATAAATCAATTTACTCTACCAAGTCGTTCGTATATTGCTTATAGTCAACTAGACTAGATTAATGTAGATGGTAAATGAATAGCTGATTTTGTGTATTAACTTGATTTCTGAAAATGAATAGCTTCAACTTGTGGTACTACCTGAAGTTCAGGGTCATGCTCAGCCTCAGCAAGATCATCCTCAGGAGATTGGGATGAACGAAATCCCTTAATATAGAAGTAGAAAACCATGTCATGGGTCATAAATATATACGTAAGTTAAAAAGATAAAGCAAATTATAAGATGAAATATAATACCATTGGTGGCAAAGTTGGAGGTTGATGAGTCTTGTGGAGTAAGAATAACAAAGTAGATGCATTTGATAACCAATACGCCATCAGATTATTATTATCTTTATCCTGCATTGAGGTGAACCATCATTACAATAGAAATATATATATATCTCAAATATATGTTGTTATTTAATTAGAGAGATCAATTTTTATGTAGTTATTTAGTTAGAGAGATCAATTTTTAGGAAAATATGGGTCTACTAGGTAAGTAGGTATCAAGCCATTGATCCTTTCTTACTAAGGTATCTTACATTCTCTCTCCCCCATCACTATGCTGATCATCATTTCCGTAACACTATGATTGGGAAACAATGACCAATGGCCCCTCCTCCTTCTCAACTCGATCGAAACACCCTGCAACATCACGGACATGAAATCTTGCATACCCCTTATTCTTGATCTTGATTGTCATATTTTGATATATGCACACCCAAAAGGTAATGCAAGGGTCCTAAATTCTGTATAGCAAATTCAAAGGAGAGACCAGTAGCTATGCGTGAAACTTCTATAGAGTTGGTGATGCTAATGTCATCAACATAGATAAGCATGTATAAGAGCACATTCCCATGGCCTTTATAAACAAAGAAGTGTCAATATTGGAGCCGATAAGTCAAAGAGAAAGTAAGTTATGTAAGAATCAATGGAACTAGGCAGGAGAAGCATGTTTAAGTCCATGGAGAGGGTGGTGAAGGAGGTAAACAAGATATGGACAAGACTTGTCAACAAAGATATGAGTTGTTCTTTTAGTGATTAGGGTTTAAGCCCACGCCCTTTAGGGTTTATATTAGGTCTCTTATGTATCCCTATTTATATGAGGTTTAACCTCAGTATTAATCTTAATACTGAAACATTCTATTATATAACATGGTATCAAAGATCTAGGTTAAAATCCTACCACTGACCACAACCCGCTACCGCCGCCTTCCACCTCCGGCCACATGCTCTCATAGTCGTCGGAGGTGCCTTCATTATGTTTCATATTCCCTTCGTTTGTTTTTTTTATCCACCTAAATAATAAAACAATCATTGACACCAAACTAGACCTCTTATCTCGGCTTCTTCTATTGCCTCATTTGCTTATGTCTCCTCATCGGAATAGGCTCCGTCCGCTGCAGCTAAGCCCTCTTTCTTTCTTGCTGCTTTTCTCTAGACTCCTCTGCCGCCGACTTGATGATCGTCGTCGCCGCCGCTCCTTTCTTCTTATACAAAGGAACCACCACTAGCCACCACTTCTTCTTTCTCCTTCTCCAACGAGCAGTTGTTGTTAGCCGTCATCGTTAGAGCACTACCTCTGTTGATGTTGTTGTCTTCATTTATGTTATGTTTTATGTTTTTGTGTTTCCAGTTTAATCGTCCCCTCCCGATCAAACTGCGGGGGGATGTTAGTGATTAGGGTTAGGCCCAAGCCCTTTAGGGTTTAGATTAGGTCTCTTATGTATCCCTATTTATATGAGGTTTAACCTCGGTATTTATCAATGAAACATTCTATTAGAAAGTAAAGTATGTAAGAATCGATGGAACTAGGCAGGAGAAGCATGTTTGAGTCCATGGAGAGGGTGGTGAAGGAGGTAAACAAGATATGGACAAGACTTTTCAACAAAGATATGAGTTGTTCCACGTAAATTGTCTTAGAGAAGTCACCATACAAGAAGCCTTTACGAATATCTAATTGGCGAAAAGAACCTTGACAAAAGAATATATAGAGAACATTTTGTATGGCGGTAGGCTTCATAAAAGGACTAAAGGTCTCTTTGTAGTAAATACGAGGTTGCTGGTGAAAGTATTTAGCCACAACCGGAGCATTAAACCTCGTATTTTTCCCATCTTGGTCTCTTTTGATAGGATAGACCCTTTTATTGCCAAAAACATTCATACCAACATAATGGGGAACCAAATACCGTGTACTATTCTAAAATAGTGCATGGTAGTCATTAGTCATAGCCCTGTGTTGCTCAACAAATTTATCAACAATGGTAAAACATGTTTATTCATCTGTATGAGTGGTAGGAGATGTGTGTAAGGCAACAAGATATTATGGTATTTTTGCATTTTGGATTTGGGCATAGAGATATAAGCTGGGAGCAATCTGGTAGGAAGGAGTAGATGAGATACTTTCATCGGTTGTGGTAACATCTAGAGAGGGTTCCATAAAGGTCGTTAGGCTATTATCGAGACTAGAAGGAAGGCAAACAGTAGTGTTGAACAATGTTGCTAAAGATTCCGGGGATGGCATTTTGGGACCGAATGAGTGAGGAGTAGGAATTGTAGGATGTTATGAAAAATACGAGACTTGAGGATGAAGGTGTTTCCAAAGGAGTGTGTAAAGGGAATATGGACATGTCAAACTGAACATGCTGAAATATATAAACACAAGAATTCTGAGGGTCAAAACACACAGGTAACCGTAAGGAGTGCAACAGGAATCCATTTTGTGAGGATTTTAGGGTCTCAAATGTGGAATATATCCAAAGACCTGAAGGATTAAGAGGCACTCAAATAGTGAATGATTTTGAGAAACCATGGAGAGAAGTGATTTTATGAGGTAGACTGCACTTTTGAAGTAAAAGTACGAGAAACGCTATACAACACCAAACTAAGCTAATAGAGTGAGAACGGTCTCCACTACATGTTTGGTTAGAATGGTTAAATATAGAAATCATTGTAATTGGTATTATCATAATTAGAATATTGTGACTGATAACCTTACCATAGTTAGTGATCAAATGTCAGTATAGTATAGTATAGCATAGTATAGTATAGTATAGTGTGTATATATATAGGGCATTCTCATTTTATCGTATAATGTAAGAAACCCCAATTGCTTATCATTCAATTCTCAGTCTTAACTTAACTTGGTATCAAAGCCAAGTTTTTCCGGCCAACCTCCTGCTGCCAACTGAAACCTAGCAACTCTTCCATTATTTCTTCTTCCGATCAACATCCTATCCCACAAACAACGAACGAGATCATGGATGTTGTCTAAGCATTCACATTTGCAGAAAATATGTCTAACAATTCTCATAAATTCGCTTGCACCCGATCACCTACAAATTATGGGTACCGGAAGGCAATGATTCAACCATTCTGAATTACCAACAACCTCTATGGCTATGTTGATGGTACGATCCAGTCTCCATTACCGAAAATTCTAGGAGCGAAAAATTACAATGCAGATGACCCTAGTTGTCTAAACTGGACTTCTAATGATGCCCACATTAGAATGGTTCTTACATACACTATCTCGGGAGCAGAAAACTCCACTTTAGATAACCCTAGTTATCTAAAATGGACTTCCAGTGATGCCCACGTTAAAATGGTTCTTACATCCACCATCTCTAAAGCCTATTTTCAACATGTACAAGGTAAAACATCGAATGACTTATGGCTTGCACTTGAACGAGCATATGCACCAAATAAATCTTCTAGGTAATACATTTTGAAGAAACAACTCTTGAAGATTGAGAAGAAAGGAAATCAAAATCCAATTTCCTATCTTAGTCGCGCCCAAGAGTATGTAAATGCCCTAGCCAATAATAGGGAGCCAATTAAAGACAAGTATTTTGTAATGCTTGTTATATTCGGACTTAGAGAAGAATACAATAGATTGAAATCCGATTCTCTTGCTCGTTCTCCACCTATTACTTTCAATGAGTTACAAGGTCTCCTTCATGATCATGATTTCATGATCAACAAAGTCGCACCAACAATCACAACAATCCCTCAAGCCTTTATTGCCTCAACCGGAGACTCTAATTCAAGGTCAACCGCAATTTAACAATTACAACAGATAGCACACAACTTGGTTTTCAATTAAACCCAACTTCTTCTCAAAAGATTTTCCTTTCTCAAGCTCCACCTCTAACGTACTATACAACCTGGTCATCCAACAATTATCATGGCAATCGTCATGGAAACTCACATGTAAACTATAAGGGTCATGAAGAGAACCATGGTAACAACAATAGTGGCAGGTCTGCCCATTCTCAGTTTGTATGGGCTTCAACTCAGTTCTAAGTTTGCATGGGCTTCAACTTATAACAAGGTTTGCATGCACTGCAATAGATGTGGTATTGGACATCTTTCGTCTCAATGTCCAAATCAGTCCACTAATCGCTCATTAGCCATGCAAATTATGCAGTTAGTTCAGAAAGTGGACCTACATCTGTTGCAAATTGGTTTCCAGGGCTAACAATCATGTTATACCAAACTTATCAAATATAGACAACTTCGAAGCATACTACGATAACGAGTAAATGCATGTTGGAAAAAGTAAGACACTCCCTATCTTTCATATCGGTTCTTCCAAAATCCCTTAACCACATAAAAACTTTAACTTATCCAATATCCTTCATATTCCAGAAATTAAAAAGAACCTATTATCTATTCAACAATTTTGTCAAGATAATAACGATTTTATTGAATTTCATTCTTCATTCTTTGTTGTGAAGGACGCCTCTACACGCACTATCCTACTCATGGGCCCAAGTGACAATGGTCTCTAATCCATTCGCCTTCCACAACTCAAGTCCATCTCCAAGATGCTATTACAGCCACCGGAGCGTCTTCTGTTATCTGGCACCAACAACTTGGTCAACCACATCAATGCACTTTTAACTCTATTGTTTCAAATTGTTCCTTAACTATTTCAAATAAATGTTTTCCATCATTATGTTCATCTTGTCAACTAGAAAAGTCTTCCAAACTTTCTTTACATGATTCAAATTTTCACAGTAATAATATTCTTGATTTGATTTAGTGTGATGTTTGGGTCCCACACCACAAGTATCCTTTGATAGTTTTAGATACTTTATGTTGTGCGTTGATCATCATTCATACTATATGTGGTTGTTTCCTGTTTCTCACAAATCGGATGTTTATTCCACATTCAAAATCTTTTTATCCATGGTCGAACGTCAATTCAACACTAAATTAAAGTGTTCAAACTGATTTTTTTTCTTTGAGGTTAAAGGGGGGGGGGGGGGGGGAGTTTTGTAACTTAGCTACTTTCTTCTCCTTATTATGGATCCTGCCCACATACCAGTGAACAAAACGGTATAGTTGAGTGTCGCCATCGTCACGTTGTGGAAACTGGTCTTACAATTCTTGCTAAATCTCACGTTCCTCAATGCTTTTAGCTAATTGCTTTTGAAACAACAGTTTACCTAATAAATCGTTTTCCCTACCACGTCTCCTCACATAAGTCCCCATTTGAAATTATAATTAAAAGACGACCCGATTACACTTTTCTATGTGTCTTCGGCTGGAAATGCTTCCCTTATCTTCGACCTTATAACAACCACAAAATGAACTTTCGTTCCATAGAGTGAACATTGCAAGACTAGATTAATGACTAGATTAACATAAATACTAAAGGAATAGTTTGATTTTTGCAAGTGATGTCCATCCTAGCTAGATTTATGCAATGGGTTTGATACACACGTGAGTTTAAGGTCAGGAGTTCGAATCTTCAAACCTATTAAATTTACCTCTTGCAATTATGCCTCATGTATGGGAAGTTTTCCTTGGAAATCCTCTTGGGGGCTCAAGTTTGCCCCCACTAAATATTATGGTGAGGCTTCCGCTAATTCGTTTCCATTTCCAAAAAAAGGAATAGTTTGATTTTTAAATAGTGCTTTGTGTATCTATTTCTAAAGGACCGAAGGACGTACCTCAATTGCTGAAAGAATAATCTGAATAATTCTATGAAACACAATCGTTTTTTCAGCTTCAAGACAATTCCAATGGAGTAGGCATTTGTATATAGTAAATGCTGCAACAGGTTTGCCATCACTAAATCCAATGTCTCCATCTACACACTCAATAAAAGCAGCAATCTCCTGCAGCAACATTCAAACTCATGTCAACAATATATATATATATATATATATTATATATATATATATATATATATATATATATATAATATCAAACTCAATATAAAACAAAGGACAAATAAACCGATATTATCAAAATGTAGATTGTACTAGCTAGTTCACCTCATATGGCGGTGTCTGTAGATTCCTGTCGAATTCAGTCAACAAGCTCCTAGCAGGCGTTTGGGGTTCCTGCATTAAATTGTACCAAAATTTCAAAGTATGAGATAATTATTATAATTTTACCTATTTGCTTAAAAGAAAAAAATTCCTACTATGAAAAAGGTTGGGGCAATTCATCTTGTTGAACGATTTACGATGGTTCTCATTCTTATATACTAAACTATATTTCTTTTAAAAAGGTTAAACTATACAAACTTTACTTGAATATTCAATGCTTTCTCAATCTTCTCAACGACCTTCCCCATCGTAGGACGTTCCATTAAATTGAAACTAATGCACTCATATGCAATTTCTTTAAACATATCGAAAGAACGACTATCAATTTGATCTTTAATAGCCGGATCAATTAACCTTTCTAGTTCATTGTCATAGTATCGTCGGACCAGATTTATAAGAGGTTGTGGGCTTTCACCTCCAATGCTCCTAGCATAATAAGCCAGCATCCCACAAAGCATTTCAAACATTACAACCCCAAATGAGTATACGTCTGATTCTTTATTGAGCATACCGCTTTCATGGTAAGTGGGATCCAAGTAAAAGTGGGTACCCGCAACCTTTGTGTAGAGTTGGGCATTTGGCTGATTTTTTGGACCAAATTTGGACAAGCCAAAATCACAAATCTTTGCTAGCATTTTGTCATCTAACAATATGTTAGCGCTCTTAACGTCTCTGTGTATTACTCTATCGCGCTCCCCAAGGCCCAAGTGAAGGTAATGGAGTCCTCTTGCTGCCCCTATACAAATCTTTAGACGTTGTGTCCATGTTATGCAACGCCTCCTATTCGAATCTTCGAGATGCCAATCAAGGCTTCCATTACTAGCATACTCATAAACAATAATCATCTCATTGGCTTCATCACAATAACCAATGAAAGATATAATGTTTTCGTGGCGGAATCTGGCAATCATCTCAAGCTCGTTGCGGAAGTCCTCTTTTGCTTGGTAGCTACCCGGTTTGAGGCGTTTGAAAGCTGCTGTGCGTTCAGAGAGTATTCCTTTGTAAACTTCACCAAATCCACCGCTTCCAATACGTCTTTGGGGATTGAAGTTGTCTGTGGCATGGTTGATCTCTTCAAGAGGAATTAGATGGTTTTTAAGGTTTACCACTGAAGAAGACATTGCCTTTTGATATTGGTTGTGATGAATGCAGAAGCACCAAAGTTGCTGTGAATTAAAGATTTCAATGAATGAATTAATAGAATATTACAAGATGTGACGAATTTATATTTGTACATCAACGGACATATAGCTATACTAACATGAGAAGAGTCACAGCATGACATACAAGCTGCTCTGATCAGTCACCCTCAATTGTTTTATCAACTAACCGATTAAAGCGAATACCATAATTCCTAATAAATAACCAAATTACCCTTGTCTAGTTTATACCTTAAAAACAGAAATATCAAAAAAAATGTCAAACGGATTGTCCTTGTCGCATGTTTGTATTCACTCTATGTCTAAAATAAATATCTACATTAAACTATTATATATACGAGTTCTTGGGTAATGTAATTTGAAAGTATTTGCAAAAGGTGATTGTAATTATATACTAATGCGTGTGTTTTCTTTTCAGATATGTTTTCGATGCTTTTTCTACACACTACCGTTTCTAGTTCATTTGGGTTCTTACCATTAACATGGACACCTTCTTCAGCCCAGTTTATATAACAACAAAGTAAGTGCCAGAGAATTTGTTAAGATTTTTCATGAATGAGATTTTCTTGATTTATCGGATTATAAAAAAGGTCAACGAAAGGTGCTTGCAAACAAATCACCAAATTAGTTCTAAATTATCTACGCAGCCTGTTTTCTGAATCCAAGGCGTTGACTTTTAGACACCACTTCAATCAAGATTGATCACATGTAGAGATTCTTTTTGTTTTGGTTCAGAAAATCAGGAGCTTTATCTATATAGGAAAGGGATTTTGATATAGAATTTGTGCCAAAAATTTGGAATATCCAAAAGGAATCGGATCCCAGATTTAATTGAATTTTATTTCTAGATATTTACAACCAACTAAACATAACCTTAATTATCACAAAGAATAGCAAATCAAATTCACAACTCAAACGCCAAATTGCTTATACACAAGTTCCCAAATGCAGAAAATAAAAGGGAAACAATCAGATTTTGGGATTCTTATTCACAGTTTAGAAAGCAAGGTGGACGATGCACTCATATCAAGAGAAGAGGTACTAGAAGATAAAAGAAAGATCAATAAAAAAAGAATACCAGTTAGGCTTCGGTCACAACACACAGCAGTGAAGCAATGGGAGGACAGTAATGGCCAGTGAGTAGTCGTCGAGGACGGTAAAGGAGGAGGAGGAGGAGGAGGTGTGTAGTGGGGAAATCGGAAATGTCAATCGAGTAATGAATCAGAATATAAATTGGAAGTTGAAAGGGCAGAGTATATATAGAGCCCCTCTACGTATCAAATGATCCCTTTCCTCTTAAGTTGTTAATATTTTTATTTTTGTTACTTTCGTATTTTTACTTTATTATTTAATACATTTGATTAACTTAAAATATAATAATCATATTAAAAACAAATTGTCCTCTCGTCCATGGTATATCGAAAATTATAGGTTTCCACCAACTTTGTTTTTTGTTACAGCAGTTGTACGGGTGGTTGCGATTTTTTGTTTCTTTTTGCATTTTTGATCATTAACCTTCATCAGTGTTGTCTCAGATGGTGGGCAACATGACCGACCGCCTAGACCCATCTTTTAAAATCTAATAATTTTATTAAACACAAATCGTCCTCTCACTGAGGTATAGAGAAAATCATAGGTTTCATCCAACTTTGTTTTTCGTTACGGGTTGTAAATTTTTTTCTTCTTTTTGCAATTTTAATCATTGACCTCGGTGGGAAACTTGGGCGTCCGTCTAGAGTCCATCTTTCCAAGGGGCCTATAGATTTTGTTTTGATGAATGAATAAGGAAATTATCGGAAGTATAAAAATAAAAATGAAGATGGGAACGACGCCAAAATTGGGAAACCAAAAGAAATTGCAAATCGAATCGTGTATAGGACCCTATAGAAGCAAGAGATTATGCAGTGTTGTCCAATACCTGTTTACAAAAATTATAAATCAATGGTTTTTGTTCTTAAAGGTTGCTCTTAAATTTTTACATCTCCATTTTGAATTAATAGATTATCTAAGGTTCAAAACAAATAACTTTCATGCTTATCAAACCATTCCAATGAACTTGTTTATCAAATTAAAAGATTGGAAATGTGTGGTAAACATGCATGTTTTTAACTGAAATGATTAGTTTTGAGTTTCTTCTATAATCACGGGTTTTGTTTAAAGTTGGGTAGACCATTAGTTGAAAAGGATAAACTGTTGGGAATATTAACATCAAGCACACTATCTAAAGGTAGCGGAAACAATCAAGAGATTTGTCTAAGTGCACATGCATCCTATAATATAGGTTTTACTGGTTTTAGGATCGTACTTCAAAAATCAACAAAAGAAAAAACTACTAACCTCTTTATTTCTTGATTGTGATCTCGTAGCTACCAGTTCATTGCTATGGATGAAGGATCCAACGTAGCACCCTTCTAATGGAATCAGACCCAAAATACCAAAAGCAAAAGGATGCAACCCAAACTAGGAAATATAAGAAATTCTCCAACCCTTAGGAGAGAGGTTGAGAATTCGATTATGGAGAGAGAGAGAGAGAGAGAGAGAGAGAGAGAGAGAGAGAGAGAGAGAGAGAGTATAGAAGATTTTAGAGAGGGAAATTAGTTCTCAAACGTATTACCCCTAGCAGTCTATTTATAGGTTGCATATAGAATCCTAGAATGATTCAAAATCTTAAGGTTAATCCTTATTTGATTCAAACCTACCTTATCCTTATCAGGAATTCTACCAAAATCGCTAATATCGATGTCTCCAAGAGCTTATGGAATATTCCAATAAATCTTATGGATTAAAGTGATGGGTTTTGTAGGTTACAAAACAAAAGATTTACGCTGCGGAATCATAAAACTATTTTATGGGTACACGCAACCTATAGATCTATGAAATTTTGTCATTATAGAAACATACTATGAAAACTAATATAACATATGTGTTATCGAAAATCACAAAGATTAGAATGAAGACCTTTAAGTATTATCGAAAATACTCAACCTTGATCCTCAAGTGTTTCCTGGAATGCTAGCACTAATAGTATGGATACCTCTAATGGCTCACACCCAATACTCTATAAACCTATCATGATTTGGAGAGAGAATGAAGGAAGGGTTTTCAATTTCTTGCTTGTAACATGTAACGACTGTCGAATTTCGGTCGAAGGCAATCCATCAATCCCAGTGAACGTTTCTAGGACTAGATCAAATAAATTATATCATGGTGTTTATTTGGAAAATTTTTAACGAAGGGAATATCCATATTTTCAATACTCATGCACGACTATATATACCCGTATTTATAAATATGTATATGGGTTAGAAGAGAATTTAGAAAATCCAAATTTATTAATTATCAAAGTCGATACACCCTAATATTATGAAACTCGAAATTTATATATATATATATATATATATATATATATATATATATATATATATATATTATTAGATAAAATGTGTAACAAATTCAACATATATATATATATAATATATATATATATATATATATATATATAGTATATATAATTCAAATAATATGAAGTTACTACATATGTGAATAACGAGATTTTGAATTGAAAATACGTGTATATATATAGATATATATATATATATAGATATATATATATATATATATATTATATATGACAAACTTGAAATCTTTGTAAGTTGTGTATATATATTTAACAAACTTTTCAAGATCTTTGTACCCTTCAAGCCTAACACTCAAGATATGAATGGTACACAAGAAGTCAGTCACAAACCTTCCCCACCCTCACGTATTCTACCCTATGCAAACTAATATATGCCCTCCATATACTAGTATATATCATATGTACATAAAATTGTATGAAATGTGGGTGGATTGCCTTCAAATCTCCCAAATAGTTCTCAAAGGTATGATAAATATTAACTTTAAAACATTTCTTGCATAGCAATTGGTCATAAACCCCACCGCCCACTCTCTGATTTTTGACTGATACTTCTCATACACACACACACACAATGTATACATACATACATGGGGCATGGAAGTAGTACACTCAAAATCTAATCCTAAATACCCTAATGTACATTTTCTTGATCTATGAATCTTCCAAAGATATGCATACGTGAGTGAGGGTACTAAACACATTCCTGACAAATCCCTCCACCCTACCTCATGATTTCACTCTTCATACACACATACATCACACATGCAAATATCTAAGGAAATATTTCATAGTACACTCATATCTTCCTTTGATTCAATTGTACAATGAAATCATAAAGAAAATATGGCTTTATATCCTTCTTCTACTGCAATATATCAAACTACAAATTTCATTCCTTTCACCTCCCATTCGAACTCTCTATCTCTCTCTCTCTCTCTCTCTCTCTCTCTCTCTCTCTCCCCCACATTGTTTATGTGATCGCCGGAGAATCCAAAAAGAGGCCGGAGGCTGCTGCCTCCGATCAAACCATCCAACCCTCTCCCCTCGTGTGTCGACTAGCAAATCTAAACACCCTCTGATCAGGTTCGATATCCGCTGAAACAACCCGGTCACAAGCAGCTCAGTGTCTTTGTTCACCGAATAAGAAATGTAGTCGAGCATCTTCCGACATCCCTCCTGTCTCTCCTATTTCGATTCCCAAGCAAATCCTTATTCATTTCCTGATTCATCCATCTAATTACAAGTGAGATTTATATTCCCTCTCGTCGATTTCAGCCTATAAACCCACCAAGAACAGCTACCGCCCGCCACCATGGCCGACGGAGTGTGCATCTCCGACGAGATGGTCCTGGTAATGATTTTCGGTCCTCAACAAACTCATATAGTTCCTTATTCTGTTATCTCTCTGTTTTGAGGTGTTTAGTTCGACTCCAAGGATTCCGGTACAATAGTCTCTTAGAACTCGGTCCCGTGAATTTCCGACACTTGCTGACTCTCGCATCAAATGTAAGTTTCTATGGCCCCTCTTTCCGAACTTTAAACCTTTGGGGGAGGATACATGTGTATTTGTTGCTAAATTGATAAATTTTGAAGTATGATTAAGTTATAATGTATCTTATTAACCTGATATATGTTTTAAAAACTTGTATATTAGTTAAATGTGAAACTATAGTTTACAAAACAATTGTAGAAGAATAAGTAATGAAATCATTCGCATGTTGTGAAAAATCATAAGATTATCGATAACTAGTTATATGTAGAGCTAATAATGCATAGATTATAACTGTATATGGGTTATATATATGAACTCATATTCATTGTCAAGTAAGTTGCATGTTTAATAAATGGGCATATTACATACTGAGTGCGTGAGCTTCAAGTCAATCTGAGCACGAAAATTATTATAATTAGCCATTACCCTAATACGACATTGAAATAAGATAGGTATGATAAATCCTAGAAGTTATTAATATTTCAAAATATCTTTTTCCTAAACATAAAATATTTATAATAACTTAGTGAACTACTAACAGGAAATCTATGACTAGGATACCTATGTACATTGTTAGAATCCACGTCATTCGGGTTTCCCTATATGCGTTGCGTTATTAGGTAAATCCAATACCACAAATCGCTAGTAGAAACCCTCCACTTTATAATTGTTAAAGCGCAAAGAACGACTAACGACATGTATAATGTCACACTATTGATCTTATATGGTTTGACCGCCCGCTTGGAGTTGCTAGGTACAACTAATGTCTGACGAGACGAATTTAGATGTTGACGTTAGTTTCATTAAACATTACCACGTGTTATAACGGGGTGAATGACCTTATCATGCCCTACTAAGGATCCGATGAAAAAAGTGTACTGTCACGAGTTCGGTTATAAGTTCATTATAAAATCTCAGAATTTTCCCAACATTGTATGGAATCAGAATAGTATCCACTCATGGATTAATTACCCTACGATTTGGATAAGAATTAAGGATAGTAAAAAGGATTTACCTTACTAATCTCCCATTGGTTTTCAAACTAACTAAAATAACAAACAATAATAATGATTAAGATATGACAATTTGGCACCTAAAATCTCATTAATTAATAGTTTTTATATGATTTACTTAGTAGGGGAATAAAAACTCTCGAGGTGGAAAATGGTCATTTTTATTTCTTGAAAAAGATAAAAATTTTCATTCTATACTTACCTCTTTACATGAAAATATATATATATTTCATTATAAAGATTCATGGAGTCAAAACCGTAGAACTCACCAACAAATTTGTTGACGTATCTTAACATGTATTCTCAAGAAATTAAGGTAGGAATCTACGCGAAGAGAATGGGACTATCACCTTGTGTTTTTGTTATAAATTATGTTTCATGTCCTCTTTTTGTGTCGCTGAAGATTTGCCGTGAATCATGTAATAAAGTATGATATAATTATGTCATATGTGGTCTAAAACTTTAAGTGGTTGTTTTAATGTTCAATATATGCTATGTTTGTGATATTCGCCTTACGTCACTCGCCTGGCGATTCCGCCGTCAGCTGGGGGTGTGACAGATTGGTATCAGAGCCTTACCTATAGCGAACTAGTATTTCCCTTAGGATATGCAACTATAGCCTAGGGAACGACATCCCTGATAAAGGTTTAAGTCCTCTAAACCTATAAACACACAAATATCATTAATAATAAGTAATATTAAACATCAAAACAAAGTAAGGGAGTTGTGTTATTAAACCACACAACAACATATAGCAAACGATAAAACTAACTTAAAACTCGAAATTTTAGATCAACTACTTAACTAAAATTTTATAGTATATATGTCGTGCCACGACTAAACCTAGCTTGCACACCTAAGTTTTATTATGGACCAATTTTAACTTAAGTGTAGTAGTCGATACATTAAAGTTTTGGAGATTTAAGGGCCATAAGATAAAAATATATGTATTGGTAACAAATCTATATCTGTATATGAGAATATGATTAAGATTTTTTTAATTAACAATTTTTTATATAGATAGGTACTTGCAAAAACAAGGATGGAGTCTCATACTCGCCCCCTCTACTGGTCGGAGACCCTTACTACCCCGATCAAGAGGCAAGGTATCAGTTGGTCACATCGGAGGACTCATAAGAGGAAGAAGAGCCCATGGAGGACCCATCTAAAGGTGAGGAGATTGAAGTGGAACCGGAGGAATCCGATCCTGATAAAGATGATGAGACCACTGTAGATAGTGAGCCCATGGAGGCCGCGGTGGTCCCTCCTCCCAGACCCTCACCTTCGAGCCCTTATAGAGACATCCTGAGAAGGACTAGGAAAACTCTCCAAACAGCTAGGAATACCACTTTTGGCTACAGAGGAATTCAGAACCCCCGACGTGGATTATACGAGGGCATGAGGAGGGGTCTGACAGACCCTGATTGGATCACTACATTCGTCGAGGACAAAATCTCTGGTGGAAGAATTACCACCCGATATGAGGATGGGCAGAGCTCAGGAGTGCGCCCTCCGCCTACTGATGATAGAGGATCCTTGGCCTTGTTATTTGAACGCACCATAAAACTGGAAAAGCAAGCGAGAGTGATGTCAAGTGAAATCAAGGTGCCTGAGAACAACACCACTCACATAGCATGGAGAGCATGAAGAATAGAGACCCAGCTGACCCAACACCAGAATACATCGACGAAGATGTGTGGACTACTCGACATAAAGGTTGATGCCAGGATGCAACAGGATACCCAAATGAAGGAAGTCGATCTCCAACCCCAAACAACCCTTATGAGGGTGGGAGCCAGTGAAGAGGAAATATTGGCCATTAATGGAAGGATGGATGTGATCAGGGTACAACTTGTTGAGCTCACAAGGGCATTAGATACCTACCTACGATTTGGATGAGTGGAAGGAGACATGCGGTGACTAGGATGAACGGGAGTATAGTATAACCCGTTGGATGCGCTGGTAGAAGAACATCTAGGATTAACTATGGAAGATTAGGAATGTAATGCTTTGTATGGTCAGGTTTTTAGGTAGGGATGATATAGCATGCGTATGTAACTCCTTGTAGATTTTGGGCCTTTGGGGCCATCTATGTAATAGTTAGTAGAATATTGTTTTCCCAAAAACCTTGAAAAATTATTGTAATGGTGGATGTAATCGTACTATGTAAAATATATTGAAGCCTATTATTTACTATGTTGGTGTCAAGCGAATGCTTGAATTTTTGACTGATGAAATTTTGTGAATAATGTAAAGGTTGCAATGAAATGCATAAAAACCAAATAATGTAATACTGAATTTAACGTCTAACAAAGTGCAACCGACTCATATCCCACTGTTAAATGTAATAGGTTAACCAACATGCCACCAAGAAGAAGAAGCACCAGGTTGTACCCTAACCTAATCTGGAAACAACAACTATAAGACCCAGAAGAGGATGACTAAGGCCAACAGATACCCCCGTGACACCTAAAGCAGTTCTTCCTACAACCGCGGCAAAATTAGAACAATTGATATCTGATCGACTCGTTGTTGCACTAGCACAACCAGAAACTGTTCGCAACGCCATCTCAGGAGCTGGTAATGGTGGAAATGGTAATGGGCAAGGTAGCAGTTCTTGAGGAGATGTTACAGGACCACAACAAGTGTGTAGCTATAAAGACTTCACGAACTACAAACCAAAGAATTTCTATGGGAATGAGGGCATCGTCGGGCTGGCAATATGGATCGAGAAGATGGAATTCGTCTTCCAAATAAGTTTCTGTCCTAACGATAGCAAAATCCGATTTGCAGTGAGTACGTTTATGGACTCAACTCTCACTTGGTGGAATGACCAAGTAAAAACTCTAGGCATTATCCCTGCAAACTCTCTGACATGCGAATTGCTGAAAATGATGCTGAAAGAAGAATATTACCCGAGAGATGAGATTCAAGCACTGGAGCAAGAACTATGGAATCTGAAAATGAAAGGCCTGGACATTAAGGCTTACACAACCAGGTTTAATGACCTCGGTCTATTATGTCCGACTGTAGTAACCACAGAATACAAAAAGATAGAGCATTATGTTTGGTATTTGGTGCCATAAACAAGGGGAATAGTGATGGGGTCATGATCAACAACTTATGAAAGTGTCAGAAGCTTGCCAAACTATTTGGTCAAGAACGAGCTCAATCGGGGAATAGTAAGTACTAAGATTGAAACTCCCAAGCCCAAAAACAACAAACACAAGACTGGAGGTAGGGACTTTAAGCACACATCGAGGAAGAAAGAAGGGATTGGATCTGTGTACGCAACAACTACGACAACCAGTCCAACACCAGTTCCTCGGTCAAACAATACTGGTAGATACCCACAATGCAACAAATGCCTTATACATCGTCTTGGTTAATATTATTTCTACACCAAATGCAAGAAGTTTGGGTACACGATTGGTTATTGCAAAACACAGTGCCGACTAAGGGGAGCAACCAAATGAATACAAGATCGAATGGAAATGGTGGTGTTACTAATGTAGTGAATCGGGATATGTGAGACGTGACTGCACGAAATTGAAAAATGCTGGTGAAAGGGCTCGTGAACGGGCATTTGTTATTGGAAGCAAGGAGGCGATTCAAGATCCTTTAGTGGTTACTGGTACGTTTCTTATCAACAACCTATATGCTACTGTTTTATTTGACTTCGAAGATGATAATAGTTTTATAACACCGACATTTAAACAACTATTGAACCAAGAGTCCAACAAATTAGACGTAGCTTGTGAGGTAGAAGTAGTAAATGGCAAAATAGAAAGTACCACTTAAATCATAAGAAACTGCCTTCTTACACTGAACGACCACACGTTCCAAGTTGACCTTATGCCAATGCCAATAGGAGCTTCGACATCATCATTGGTATGGATTAGCTGTCTCCTCACCATGCAGAAATCGTGTGTTATGAGAAAGCTATACGACTAACTTTACCTGACGGAGAAACCCTAACCATCTATGGTGACAAGTCGGATCAAAACCTCAATCTTGTATCTTGCACAAAAGCTCAGAAATATCTACACAAGAAGTACTATGCTTTCTTGGCTCATATAGTAGATAAGAAGAGTAAAGTGAAAGAAATAAAGGACATACCTCAGGTATGCAAATACCCTGACATTTTCCCAGAATATTTAATGGGCCTACCACCAAAAAGACAGGTCAAGTTTAGGATTTGCCTTATTCGTGGAGCAGCACCAGTAGCTACAACACCCTATAGATTGGCTCTATCCGAGATACAGGAGTTCTCGAGCCAACTACAAGAACTTCTTGACAAGGGCTTCATCAGGCCAAGTTTTTCTCCTTGGGGAGGATTATTATTTTTCAAAAAGAAGGACGTGTCTTTTAGAGTGTGCATCAACTATAGGGAATTGAACAAACTAACCATCAAGAACGAGTACCCCCTTCCTAGAATCGATGATTTATTTGTTCATGAATTATCTTTTAACACGGCGTGTTGAAGGCTTAACACTGAGTGGTGATATGGTATTGGCCCGCGGAGTTTAATGAGCCAACACGACGTGTTGTGGTGTCTCAACATGGCGTCTTTATGGATGGGAAGAAAACCCTAATTTTAGGGTGTTGCACCCTATATAATCTCCTTAAGTCCCCAAGGGTTGGTCTCCTTACCAGCCTCCATTGTCACTAAAACCCTAATTCGTCCCTTAAGCTTTCTTGGTGGTGTTCTTGGGCCTTTAGTGGATTCTTGTGTTTATTTTGCTCATTTATAAGGGAAGCTTGAAGATTTAAGGGGCTTATCATGGAAGAAAGGTCATAGATCCAGAATCTCTCCACTTGTTGTAGTCTCTTTAAGGTATCAAGTTCATACATTGACTAGTAGATGTTTAGATCTCCTTAACTCATGCTTTTGGTCTTTTTGGGTTGAAGAGTGTGAGAAGTTGTTTTGGGGTTTGTTATTCCAGATCTGATTTGCATTGGACCCCTTTAGCTTAAAGGTGCAAGCTTTATGAGAAGAATTGGTCCCTTGCATGCATTATATTCCTTTTTAAGCTCAAGAGCTTCATTTAGGCATGCATAAACGTAAAGTTGGCAACTTTACATGGTTTTCTAGCTCAAGGAGGTCAGATTTGTGTTTTGGGGCTTTGACTCATGAGTTAAGTGATTATTGGTTAAGCCTTGTGCTATTAAGCCTTAGGGTTTGAGTTTTGGACCCTTTTTGGTAGTCCCTATGGGTAAAGTTGAAACTTTACCCTTCTAAGTCCCTATTGGGTTCAGATCTGAGCTTGGGAACTCTTGGAGACGAAGGAAACAACTTAATGTATGAAGCTGTTGGAACTCCAGGAAACACAACCTGTTGGCTGGGATTTTCCCGCCTATGAGGATAAAAGGGAAACACGACATGGTCAAAGGGAACCACGACGTGTTGGGTCAACATGGGTCATTGACCTTGACTTTTGACTTTTGACTTTTGTATGTGACCAAGTTTGACCTATAAGGGGGTGTTTAGGTATTTTGAGTTGTATCTAAAGAATTGTTACTTTTTAGGTGTCGGGTAGAACTGATATTCGGAGCTGGGACTTATTCAGCTATCATTCAACATTTGAGGTGAGTTTCCTCACTGAATTTATTGGGTCTAAGGCGCCAATGTTGACCCTTGTTGATTATACTAGGATGTTAGGAGTCTGCGTGACCCTTGCATGTGTTGTGCACTGCCATGTATACCGGGCGGGGCTCGATGTCGGGCGAGGCCCGGTGACTAGAACATATTATATTGTTTTATGATTATTATATGTGTTTGCATGATTATGTGATATATTGTATGTACATAGTGGGCAAGCCCAATGGAAGGAGAGGCTTGAGAATAACAGATATGTAAACCAAGCGGAGCTCGATGTCGGGCGGGGCTCGATGTCGGGGGAGGGCCGATGTTGGGCGGGGGCCTAGTATGTGATTTATTATGTAATGTATGGGGTAGTTTGGGGAACTCATTAAGCTTAGTGGTTACGGTTTTCAGTTTATGTTTCAGGTACCTCCAATTCCAAGGGGAAGGGCTCGAGATGACTACATTGCACACACCGTATGGATTCTGTTTATGGGAGACACTCTGATTTTTATGATGTTTGACACACTTATTTTTATTGGCTTGTATGAACAATGTTTTGGAATACTGTTTTTACTAGAATTAAAAATGAAAATTTTGGGATCATGTTTTTGGTATGTTACAAGTTGGTATCAGAGCCTTGGTTTCAGGGATTTGGGCACACACTCGGGTGTGCCTGAACTCAAACTAAGGATTTGGTAAAGCTTTTCAAAAGAAACATATTTTAAGAAAAGGTTTTTCCTAAAATAAGAAAGGGTGTGGTGCATGCAATCAGCCTAGCTCAAGTACGTTTTCCCAAATTACCCATGCATGTTATTTGATATGCTTTGATCTATGAGTCTGTAAACCGCATGCTAGTTAGGGCTAAGGATATGCTCAGTTTTGCATGATAGAATGCTATGAGAGATGCCTTTGTATGCCTATTGTATAAGCTTGTAGACTTGCATGCTAGTACTGATCAGTTAGTGATAGGATGGCCTGATTATGTTATGCTTGGTTCTGATTACTTGATGCTCGAATGCTACTTGCTTTGTGCTTTTTAGGAGTTATAACTAGCTTCAGC